GGAGCCTGGCTGCACCTCTTAGACCTCACTTAAGGGTTGACTGCCACTGGAGAAGGATCTCTTTCTGGAGTTCTCTTCTTTGTGGAGTTGTCCTCTGTGAGCCTGGGTTTTTAGTGATGGGTGAGTTCTCTTTTCTTTGTTGGTAGCGTCTTTCTGTCACGTTAATTCCTTTGTCATTGTGCTTCCTGTATCACCTTTTCATCGTGTCGATTTTTGTGATAGTTACACAAGTATTGCTTCAATCTGATGTAATAACATTCACGTTCACTGGTGAGGTGCATGTGAGGAGTATGTATGTAAATATTTAAGTTGATGTTGGGCTGAAACAAGTGATGGTTTGGCCAAGGAGAAGTAGGCAGAGAGGGTGGAACCCATAAAAGGCTTGCAGCTTGATTGAGTATGGAGATCTGATAAAGTAAAAAAAACTTGTCACTAATTTTTTTTTTTAGTACATATGTTGGTTTATAACAACTTGTAGGCGCTTAATTTTGTTACTCAGAATTATTTTTATGTGCATTTGTGCATCAGTTGGTCCTTTGGAAGCTTTGTTTTTAAAAAAGGAAAAAAACCTTGTGTAACTGAAGTTGTTGTTTTCCTAACTTCTGAAGGTTTTCTCTGAGAGCAACAAATACAAAAGGTGGAAACGATGTCTTTACTTGTGTAGCCTGCCGTCCTCAGGAGGATTGTATTGCAACTGGCCATGCTGATGGAAAGAGTCGTCTCTGGTATGCTTATTTTGATTTGATTATTTGATTAGAATATTTGACTACTTACTTTTGTACCCTGACCGTGGGAATTAAGTGAAACCTGAGCAGAGCAGCTGTTAGTTCTTACCGTTGTGATTTTCAGAAATCAAAAAAAGCAAAGAATGGAAAATCCTCTGTAATTTCCTGTAATACTGATGTTGACTTCAGAGTACAGCTTCAGTGTAACATGAAGGGGGAAAATATTCCTTTTAAGCTACACTGCTATTTTAAAATGTATTGGGAAAGGTCAGAGCAGTTTAAATTAGTGGTTGTGGGCATCTGGAGTCCTAGTAACAGGACACTAGGGAAACTGTGTGGTGAAGCATTATCAGCTTGCTAAGTATGGTAGTGATGTATAGGGTGCATCAGGAAAGCTGCTGGTGTGATTCCTCCCTCTTGCACCATGTGCATGCATGAAACTGTAGTCAGGAGATTGGAAAAAAGGATGGTATTCACTCTTAGCATTTGTTTGCTCTGTTGTCAATGACTACCTTTAAAGAACTGTTCTCTTCCTTCTCCACAGGAGGAATTTCAACCACAAAAAAGAGTACACGTTCTCTACACTGCACTGGCATCACGATAAAGTCCTGGATCTAGCTTTTTCTGTAGGAGGTGAGTACAAAAATCATGAAAAGATTCAGAGTTACAAACAGAGAAATTAATCCATTTACTAACAAACTAATTTCCAGTATTCTAAATATGTTGAAGGTGGATCTGAAAGAAGTGAGAGCAGCCGTACTTTCTTTGTAATACTTTAACATTCATAATGTCAAATAGCTGCCTGTAATAGAAATGCTCAGTCTGAAGCAGTGATCGAGCACCTGGTGGGAAGGCATGGCCAACCCAGGGGAGCTCAGGTGCATGCAATGTACTGCAGTGAGTGGAAGGGGAGGAGCCAGGATCCACCCCTTCATAGGGGATGGCATCCACCCCTCATTTAAGGGGTGGCAGTGGAGGTGAGGGCATCTCTTGCTGGAGTTCTCTGCCTACTTGAGGCCTTCCAAAAGTAAGTAGCTCTTTTTGTTCCCTTCTGCATCTGTGGCTGCTGCGTTTGGGCTTGTTCTCATTTTCTGTAGCCAGAGACTTTTCCACCCTGCTCTTATCATCCCATGAGAGCATTACGCTGTCCTTTAACAGAATGCAAAATCGAGCCGGTTATATCTTCTACCCTGCCTACCACCTTCTTCTCTTTCACCAGCAATACTCATGAGTCCTTTCCAGAGTCTGTCTGAGTCCAAAGTAAGTCAGGCTTGACTGAGCTTAAACCTAGTGGCGGAAATCCACTTAGTATTCATGTGAATGCATTTCTTAGTGTACTTCTTACTGCAAAATGCTTTTTGTAGAAGGAAAACTAACAAGCTGTGTGCTAACACAATACTCAACACATTCAACGAGTGGTAGAATTTAATATTCCCAAGCATTTCTTTAAGTTCTATTGCAGGCAGAAGTTCTTGTTATTTATGTAAGTTTCTGTGTCAGTTTTCCTTGGGATAACAAGAAATCTACCTGTGTGTATTGCCCAGGCTAGATGTGAAGAATAATTCATCCATGTGCGATGCTTTAAGAAATGTTCTTCAGAAATCTGTGTGTCTGTCATTGTAACTGGTGATATTCTTACAACCTCTAACTGTATGTTTATGATCTGAAAAGGAACCAGCTTGCTGAGTGGAGGAGTTGAATCTGTTCTAGTTCAGTGGCACAGTGGATCAGACTGCAAGAAGGATTTTCTTCCTCGCTTGGGATCTGCTATTGAATACGTCTCCATCTCACCTGATGGCGCTTTCTATTGCACCTCTCATGCAGACAACAGTATGCCTATGTTTTAAGTACCACTTACTGCAAATCTATACGGGCTCTGTTTCGTTATTTTCGGGTGAATTAGCAAGGTGTTGCGTATGGATGTTTAAAGCAGTGTTCTGCTTTTTCTTTAGTTGTGCACATTTGTCTGAGGTCTTTGTGTGAGGTCTGCTTGTAGCTTAGCTTCCCATCTCGATTCAGGAGTCTGACAGATTGTGAGAAGATGAATGTCTATCCCACATGTATATGCGTATGTAGGATTAAATAGAGATAACTACAGTCCCTTCTCCGCCATTGATACAGTTACTTTGTGGAAACTTTTTGCAAGACTTCATATGCTTTTCCTTTCAGGAATTACAATAATAAACAGCAACCTGAGATTTTCCGAAACCATTCCAGGGCTAGTTAAAGGTATGTGCACTGAAGTTTATTTTCTGCTGATGGTGTGGAATGTGTCACTTCCAATCAGAGGTCACTTTCACCTTGTTTTCATTCCCAGCCAGGGATATCAAGACAGGTCTAGTGGTTGATCCTAGAACCAAAGCTTTGGTCTTGAACGGAGAGCCTGGCCACTTGCAGTTCTACTGTCTCCAAAGTGACAAACAGCTATACAGTGTAAGTTGGGCAGGCCTGTGCTAACCTTTTCATTTCTTAATTCGAGTTATACATGAGAATTTCTTTGAGGACTGTATATAGCAAACAAGGAAAAGCCATTAACTGTACTATGGCACTGGATTCCAGCCTGAGATTTTTTTTTTCCTTTATGAGAATCTTCTATTCTAGAAGAGTATGTAAGGTAAACCTTGTTTGGAAAGATGTTTTCACCTGCTAACGTCCCTATTCCTCTCATAAGTTCAATGTTTAAAAAAAAAATCTGTAATTTCCCATGCAATATGCTTTTAATGTTGTGTTATTTACGTGCTATAGTATTGCTTTTCCCAAATTTTTTTTTATACTACAGCCTGCTCAGTTCTAATTGGTGCTTTCTGGATGTCCTTTCTCCTTTGTTTTGTGAATGGTATCTATAAATCTGCACTCAAACTTGGAAACTCTGATTTGTTTTGCAGTTGGATATTGTTCAGCAAGAGCACACGTCCATCAAGCAGGCTGAAACCAATCTGACTTGTCCAGAGTTGCGTTTAGTGCTGAAGGCAAGTGGTTAGCAACAGTAGAAGAGAGAGAAGAAACTGACCTAGAGTTACAGTTGAAGCTGTGGCTCTTTGATGAGAAAACACAAAGGTAATGATAATTGGAGCTGGCCCTGCGGGTGTCAAAGTTTGTATTTTAAGTATCGTGCAAATGTCCATACAGTCCTTGTCTTGAAAAGGCAAGGTTTTCCAAATAAACTGATGGCATTATTGAGAAGACCTGAGGAAGGGATTACCGTGTGTGTCACACACATTTGTAAAAACCCATAAACAAAATTAATTGCAATTGTGAATGCTTGCTTTGAATGTAATTGTCTTATAATAATTGCCTAGGCTATCTGGGAGCTCTAATTCCTGTATTTATTTGATACTAAAATAGTGGACTGGATGAAATGGATCTATTTGTTTTTTCCAGTCCCTCTCAAGTCCATTGTAAATTGATCAGTCCCTTTAGGTTACATGAAATAATTACTTCAATTTTTTGGGTCGTCTTTCACGAATATGCCTCTGGTTCATACATTTCCCAACTTCTCACTTAATAATATTTTTTTAGTCTGAAAGTTATCTTAAAGAGAAAACAAAGCAAAATAATGCTGACGCGCGTAGTAGAAGTGTGACTGATCAACTAAGGAAAAGGTTGCCCTGATTTCAGGCTGGATGTTTGAGACTGGTGTTCATTGAAGTAATAATTTTAGCTGCTAGGATGCTGTCTGTAGAGGAGTGCAACTAATTAGATAAGATGGATCTGTAAATGCAGTAGCACTTCAGCTATCTAATGAGAAGTTTCTTGATTCTTTATTTGCAGCTTTAGACTGAATACTAGAGTAAGCATGCCTCATGAGGATCACGTAACGCCGATGTGCTTCCGTGACATGGATGAAATGGAAGATGACTCTCTGATGCTGGTAACAACTGGGAGAGACTGTGTGTTTAAGGTCTGGGTGATACTAGAAGACGCTGATCCGGAGGGTAAGTAAGGTCAGAGCATAATATGCTCTTATTTGTCTCCTTATAGCACGCCATAGAAATGCTGACCCAAAGTGAATCCCTTCAAAAGTAGGTCATCTATTCCTACCCATTTAGTCACGCTATTGCGTGCTCTCCTGAGCATCCTCTGCCATGGACTTCGGCCGTAGTTTTACAATATGAGATTTGCAGTGTAAGGAACCTCCTTATAAAGACTTCACAGAGCTTGCTGCAGGAGGGCATGGCAGCCTATATTCATTATTTAAAAGATTGTTTTTAGCATGGTTTCTCCACTCTAGGAAACTGGAGTGGGTATAGTGTTTTAGAATCCGGGTCAAAAAAAGGATATAGGGCAGAGTTATGTTCATTGGCATGCGTAGAAGTACACATGGATATTGAATTCCCTTGTATTTGACCAGGGAAGGAAAGAAA